GGAAGAGCGAAGCATATTCAGTTGTGGTACTTCCTTCTACGCGAGTGACAGCAGCGCCGCAAGGCCCGCGTAGTACACTTGGCCTCTGGTGCCAACACAACTGATATCTTTACTAAGAGGCTTGTGCCTAAAGATCATCAATGACACTGTGTGCAGCTTGGTCTAGTTCCTGTAGCTTCTCACTTGCCAGAACCTTGATTGTGTACTACTCTTGTTATATATACTTCTGACCAGCCTTGTGGCTTTTCTTCCAATGGTCAGACTAGTTGTGTTGCCCTGGTTTGCTTTTGCCTAGTTTGTACCCTTTTGACTGGTCTTCATATCCTTGTCTCAGAGGTTGGACTAGTAGTGCCACCCTGAGTTGCATGTCTCTTGCTAGGCACCACCACCCTTTATCTAGCCTACGGGGTGTGTCAAACATAAATCCATATGTTAGTATAGGCTAGATAGGTGAATGCTCTTAGATAATATAAAATTGGCACAAAACTACTCTATGCCTTCTATTCTAGTCAGTTGATTACTCTCAGAGGCGGCACTACAAGGGGCGGAACGGGGACAACTTTGGGGGAACGCATTTGTAAACATTCAGAAATTGGGTGCGAGGGGTGGGCTAGGAACGGGAGGGGTGGGGGAGGGGGGAGGGGGTTGCGGGACACAACTCTGCAACGAGAATGGGGATTTGTAGTACACATCTTCAAATTCGCGTGTTCGAATGTTTTTTATGGCCGACGAGGACGTTCATTTCCCACAAGGAAGTTACGCATCAGATTCCCAATATTTATAAATTGAAACACATTTTAGGAAATGTGTACTGCTGCATGATATCCTTCTCTATTGAAGCTGCATAGTTGATACATGTTCAAGAGTGATCTGCATTGAAGTTTGTGCCGGTCGGTGGTGGAAGCTTTCTGGTGAGGCTCCCTCTTACAGCTGGTGGGGCGCATACACATACACCCTCAATCTAGTTATGGTTAAATCATGTAGGATCAAAACTCACGTAGGGTCAATGACGAGATTGGCTTCTTATCAAATTGCCTTCGTGCAATTTCGGTGTGCCTTGCACCAAATGATGCTGGTATTCCGAGCACATCAGAGGGAAACAGATAGAATCAGACACTTTTCTCTAGTCTCGAAAATCCAAAAATTGACGCGAACAATCGTCGTGTTGGGAAGGTCGTGGGCGTGCTCGTCGTCGTTTTGGTTGGGCCAAACCTGGTTTGAAGTTTCATTTTGTTTTCGTGTTTACCCTCACCGTGGCGTTTGACCGCTCGGCTCTCGGGTACACCCTGAAACCAGTTTCGGGGTGTAGGGAAATAGCAACAATTGTGGGCCCCATGGGCACTCACGTACAGGTCATATTCCCTTAGCACCCGGGGGGCGACTCGGCAGATTTCCCTTTTAACGAATACTGGCCGTACGATAGGGGCAACGTGGACTATGGGGTTTCCCCGGGAAATGGGGCGTTGTTTTTTGTGTACTGTGCATGGGCGGCTTGACTGGCGTATGCAGCGACTGAGGAAACATCGCCACGTCGCAAGCCTCGTCATCTGTGTTTCAACTCCGTGTTTAAGAGATTTTCAGAATTGTTTCCGTAGGTGACAAACATGGACAGCAATCAAGCAACAAACAGAATTGATTCGACAAAGACAGCACTCGACACTAGACTAGACTCGAAATTACATACCGACCGAAAACAATGGTTACGTTGATCGACACTGCCCAACTCTTTGCAACACAGCACAGCCCCCGCGCCGCTAAGCTTATAGGCAAAGCACATGCCTTCTCGCGCCTCCACATACAAGATCTAAGACATCGTGTTGTAAGCCCGAACTACATCATCAACCGCCTAGTACTTGCGATACGTAGCCGGCTGCGCGCCAAATGTCATCCACTGGCCCGCGTCTGGATATCCGGTCATAACCGCAGTGGCTCCGCGAACATGACTGAGGTACTCTTTCTCCGCCGCGTCGGGCACATTGTTAGTGTCCATGCGGGGGGATGCGCGCTCCAAGCGATCAATAACCGCAGGTTCGCGGATATCGAAGAGCACTCGGAGATCGCGCGGAGCCAGGCCAATGGACTTGGCGTAGCCGATTAGCATCTCTGTCGCCATGCGCGACAGATTGCGCCGGTTCCGCGCTGGGTCGTTCGGAGCCGGGGGGAAAGGCACGTTCGCCCACCACGAATCCTGCAGGGCCGGGCCAAGCGGCTCTACATCAAGCAAATCCACCCCACTTGGCTCGCTCGTCTCGTCGTCACGCTCGGCGGTGACGAAGCGAGCGGCGGAAATCATATCGTCCGGGCCAAATGGCAAGGCGAGCATGATCTGCTGCACCGGCTCGATCTCTGAATCTTGCTGGGGCTCCTGCTCTTCACAAGTGGCGCCAAGGAGAGGTAGCAGCGGCTGCCAGGTGGCGGGCAGCATTCGCGTCCTCCAGAAGCACTTCTGGATGGTTGCGGTGTCCAAGCCAAGACACGCATCCGACACCCATGTTACCACCTGCCACATCTCGGGCTTCCACTTCAGAATAGCAACGACGGTGACGCCCGGGATCTGCCACTGTGCGAGAACTGCCTGAAGCAACTCCACCTTGTAACGTGCCTTCAGAGCAGCGATGAGGCCTTAGTTCAGAGGCTGAGTGAACGGGGTCGTGTTCGGTGGCAAGTACACAAGGCTCTCGTGCGAGAGCGCGTGCGTCCGAAACCTGCTAATGTCGGCTGACGTCGCGAGAGGGGATTGGAGGAGGTGACTCGACGCGTTGTCGAGCATGACGACGATGCGGCGTCCTTCCGCCATGCAGCACGCATTAACGTGCTCGAAGAATGCCGTGAAAACCCGCGCGGGGCGTATGGGATAGACGGGTGTGTAACCGACTGTTATTCGTAACACACGCCACATATTTCACCGTACACATTTGGGCTCGGTACATGCAAGCGACGGAAAGCGAGGCACGTACCTCTGCCGTCATCCATCCGGAGGTGTTCGCGCGCCAGTAGCAGTATTTCGCAGGGTCAAATTTCTGTTTTGCGAAGCAACGGGGCCGCTCGAACTTGTGAATGATGAGCGGCTTGAAAAGTTTCGAGCCGTCCGCATTCACCAGCAGCGTGACTGGAAGCCGGTCCTTGCAGACCTTCTTGCCCGGGGTAGGGTCGATGCAGAATGTGTGGTCGGGGAGGAGATTGTAGTAGACACAGGTCTTGTCGAAGTTGAACAGGCTCTCCGGGGTCAGGCCAAGCTGGTCGCACAGCCTTGGGAAATGTAGTTGCGCGGTCAGAGCGGCGCCCTCATCGGCAGATTTCGCTTCGCCGCTCATCTTACGCCACTTGAATCCCATTCGGCGCAGGGCTTTCTGCACCCATCCAACAGAAGCTTTAAACTCGCTAGGCACGTTGCACTCGGGGGCTAGTAGTATCGCGCGCTGCTGGATTAGAGCCGTCGAGACTAGGCAAGCCAGCACCATTCGTGCTTTTCAGCCAGCTCTTGAGTCGAGCTTCAAGTAGAGGCCAATGTGAGTTACGCACCCTTTTGAACTTGGCGCGTTCGGGCCCTATGGCCCGCCACTTCTGTTCGGTTTGCAGAACTCGCCCAACTGTACTGCGATCCGGCCACATGCTGTATCTGGTGTGGCACCATCGCCCAATGTCTTCGAGCCGCAAGGTCGGGTTCTTTTTTGTGTATTGGCATATTGCAACCCTCTGGCCGATGGCGAGCGCAACACGGCGTACAGGTGCCATGTGGACGACTTTGTTGGTTTGGCGGGCCCGTTCCTTGTGTCGTGAAGAGGTCGTTGTTTGGGGCATATAAATAACCCCGGGGTGTCGGCACTGCTGGTGGGGGGAACGATGTTGGGACCCCTCTGTTGCTTCCGTGGCGCGCTCGTATCGGCTGTGGGTGGTCAGATTTTCCTGGGGCAGCGCCGACGGATTCCGTTGGAATTGCTGGCGCAATTCTACTGGACCGTCAACGAGCTGGTCGTATCTAGCGCATCATGTAGATTTTTGCCTCGACATTGGTTAGCGAGCCTGACACATCTGGATTTTTTTAGGCTCACCGACCACTAGGTGTGGTCGCTCTGAAAACACAAGAGCAATCTGATTGGTCGGCCTTGGATTAGCCGAATCGACTGTCTACTTTACTGTTGAGTTGAGACAAGTACACTTTGCGGACAAGGAGAGGCCTTTAAAAATAAATTGCCTATGGAATACTCCTGGGCATAAAAGGGGTTCTACGAGGCATTTGACCTGTATTGTCAAATTCCGCTAAAAACCAACCCAGCCGCCCTTTCCAAAAGCTTTGACCATGACGAGGTTTATGGTGTACACCTGCAGAAGGTCGGTGCAGTGTGTCAGAAGAACAAAACTGGGACATGCGGCCACCCTGACTCGTCAAACAGACCACAACAAAACCCAGGGAGAACCTTGTTGGCGCCGCCCTGGACTGGGAACGGGTGATGGATTGGACCCACCGTACAACACAACAAAGTACAACAACATTCCATCAAGAACAGAAATTGTTTGGATGCCCCCAAATTGTTTGCTGTTTAGCTAAACATATTGATCACCAATATTGGGAGTTCCCGATAGAGTAATGTATGTGGACTCACTAATTTCTCGCCCCAGCCAACCCAACCGCCTTCATATTTGTCGGGTCACAAAATGCTCTTCCAATTATGTCGATGATTCTTCCGATTTCAAGCACAGACGTGCGATTTTCTGACAATCCCTGCCGCCAGAAAAAACTCACACACACACCTCCCTTCCCTACCACTATTCTCGAATCAACCCCAGACCCCCCACCCCCCCCACCTTCTCCCTCTGGTCTGGTCCGGTGCCTCTGGCCAACAAACACTTCCACCAGCACAGCACGGCTGGCTTGGCATACACCCTAGCCCACAGGGCTGGGGTAGGCTGGCCTTGTTCCACTCTCTACTCTACATTCCGCGTTGGGAGGATGCCTGCTAGCCACACCATGCCACCAATCAATCCAGACGCATCGCCCGTGACTCTTTGAGTCGCACCTCCCAACTTTCTCCTCCTGCCTGACACAAGGAGCCGACATATCCCTGCCATTGGTGCTCAAACAAACCTAACTTCCTCTCTCAACTCAACTCAACCCTTGTCCACCATCCACAGTGCACTAAACCAAGCATCGATTCAGGTGGAGAACGAGGGTAGTAGGCCCTCCCTGAGCCTTGCTTGCGCGATGTCTACCTGTTCCTTCTAGGGCCTACTACTACTGCTTATGACTGCTCCCCAGGGAGTATACGACACGTCAGTCATAGATTATTCGTGACCTAGTCTAGAACCCGAATCAGCTTCGGGGTGATTCGTATGCGCTTCGTAAATTGCATAACAGTCGCTGCTTTTCCTGCGCCATGGTTTCGTCGCTTCCAGGAGCAGCAGCAGTAAGGTTAAGGGGGGACGGTAGCATCTAGATTCCCGGAACGTCCACGCTAGGTATCTCAATCTACAACCCCGTTCCTGCTCCCGAAATCTAAAGACTGTCGCACGCTAGCTACTAGGTTATTGGACGCAACTGGACCCCCGATTCGTCAGCCATCTGCGATAGTCTGACGAGCCATGGCGCGTCGCACTCTTCTTACGCTAGCTCTACTCTCTCTCCTTCTCGTCGCCTCCCCCTTCGCTGCGCGTGCTTTCCGCCTCTTCCCCTGGAGGCCTCCAGCCAAACAGGAGCCCAAACCCACGCCGCCAGCCACCCCTAGTGTAAATCAGGGTTACGACGTTGTTTCGAAAGAGACCGATGATGACACTGACGACGATAATACGCTGATGTTACCATCGCAAACACTCGTGAAAGGCTTCGCCAACTTTCGCCCGCTTCAGCGAGGCCCGGAGAACATAGAGCCCCCGCGACCAGCCGATGGGAACTACCCGATTTCGCTGCAGCTGCCGTCGGGAACGAAATCACAGCCGGCGAAAACTGGCGAAGCGGGCAGCGAAGGGACGATGCAGGCCCAGTCGTTCGGTGAGACAAGCGGTTCTGGTAGCGGCGGGAACGGCGGTAGCGGCGGTAGCGGCGGAGGGGGGCTGGCAGGTGACAGCAGCGACTCCGACACCGTTGACGATGACGTGACGTTCTTCGAGGTCGCTCGGCCGATCGCACGGCCTCGCGGGGCGAAGCCGTGCGTCGTTACGCTGCTTCGCAACCAATCGTTCGGCGACACGGTTGACGACCCGCCTGTTGCGAAAAACTACTCCATCCCCGCCTCATGCGGCTCTGTACGTCTTTCCTAACTAACCTCTCTAGGTTCTCCCCCCTCTAGGTTCTCCCCCCTCTAGGTTCTCCCCCTTCTAGGTTCTCCCCCTCTAGGTTCTCCCCCTCTAGGTTCCCCCATCATATCAAATCCGAAACCTCCGCTTCTTCCCCCGTTGGTACCAGTCCGCAACTCCTCCCTCCGCGCACCCCCTGCTTCTTCCGCCTGTACCAATCCGCAACTTTTTTCTGATTGGCTGATGACCCCTTAGGCGTGGTCGCTGGTGCTGCTAAGCGTGCGCATAAACGTGAGGGGGGGGTGCAAATTCGAAACTTCCCCCCCCTGCCTCCCTTCGTCGACTCCCCCCGTTGACCCCATTCCGCTTGGAATTCCCCGCATGCGCTTTCTGATTGGCTGCGTGTTTCCGCCAGGCGTGGTCGCTGGTGCTGCTGAGCGTGCGCGTGAACGTAAGCGGGGTGCAGTTCGACCGCGTGCTCTCCGTGTTCCTCGGCAACTTCGAGGTCTCCAGATCCATGTACGCCGCTCGCGCGGGCTAATTCTTGAGATGAACGAAAAGTGTACAGGGCCGATATTCATGCAATCTAGTTCCTACGGATAATTATATTCTACATGTGTGGCAGCTCTTTTTAAGCTATCCCTCCTCCTCCCTCCCCCCCCTAACGGTTCTACAGTACGGTGGAGCCTTTGGGTGTGTCGGCATCGTACTCGTTTGAAGAAGACGTCACTACATATGCATACATGCTTGCAAAGGTATTTTTTGTGCTCCCTATTTCCTTCTTTTCATTCCAAACTCTTCGCACCCTCCCCTCTCTTCCTCCATCTCTTCCACATCCGTTTCCTCTCTATATTCCCTTTTCTTGCATCTGTCCCATCACCAGGAGAAGCAAGCATTCATTTCGCTCCCTAATGTCGTCAACGACACACTAACAGGTAACTAACCGGTCGGGAAACTCGCTTGCAAAATTTATGCAAGCGAGTTTGGTTGTAACCATTGTTTGTTCGCCAGTCCCTACCGACAACAAGGTTTCTTCCACCATCTGATGCTGGGTGCAGGTCGAAACAAACCTCATTGCATCTGACCCTATTTGTCCGTATCTGGTGCAGGTGTTTTCTACGTCAGCATCGACCTTCTCTTCTTCAAGACCTCTAGGTTCAACCGAGCCATCGTGCCGGACGTCGTTCTCCCCTTCTCCAGCCAAACTCCCGAAAAAACCTACCCTTCCCCCTTTACAATCACTGGCGACGACTCCGCATCCGCCTCTTCCACCTCTTCCTCCTCTTCCGCCTCTTCCTCCTCTTCCGCCTCTTCTACTTCGTCTTCATCTTCCTCTCTAGAAGCAGCTGTGACTTTCCCCTCGCTGCCGCGCGACATCGTAACGGCGAAATTCGAGCTGATGGTAACCAGGCATGGTGGCGACGAGTTCTTCTTCATGCTGTCGCCCAACTCCTCCTCCTCCTCGTCCTCCGCCTCCTCAGGGTGAGTTGTAGCAGCTTTCTTGGGGTATTTTGAGTCGACTCAAAAGCCTCCTCCTCCTCGTCCTCCGCCTCCTCAGGGTGAGTTGTAGCAGCTTTCTTGGGGTATTTTGAGTCCGCGTCCTCCTCAGCTTTCATGCACTCAAAATACGCCCAACTCGTCCTCCGCGTCCTCCTCTGAGGGTGAGTTGAAGCCGCGTTCTTTAGCTCGTCTGCGTTCGTCGAGTTGAGTCGACTTCAAAATCGTTTGCAGCGCGGAGTTGAGAAGCGATTTCATCCTGCATCCATACCAGCTCACAACTCCCCTCCCCTCCCATCTGCTGCCATCACTCTCCCTCATCCTCTCACCCCTCGCCCCCATCCCACTCGCCCCTCTCCTCCCCTCCCCCCACCCCATCAGAGTCACATCCGATCTCCTCGCCTCCTCTCCCTCCGACTTCTCCTCCTCCTCCTCTCCCTTCCGCGAGCTTCTTCTCTTCGTCGACTCCCAATTCGCGGGGGCTGTCTTCCCCTTCCCCACCCTCTACCCCTCCTCCTTCGCCCCTCTCCTCTGGGTTCCCATGGTGGGAATCGGCTGCTTCGGCACCCCCACCTACACCCTCGACGTCACGCCATTTGTCGGGCTGCTAGTGGACGGGCAGCCGCACAAAATTTCGGTCCGCGTGCCCGTGGTTGGCCTGGCTGCCCGGTGGATGATTTCGGGGGTGCTGCAGCTGTGGGTCGACCCTGTGAGGCAGGTCACTACTGGCACGCCGCCAGTGATTAGTGTAAGTGCTCTCGATTCTGTCAGCCAAGGTTGTCAGGAGGGGAATGAGGGATATAGTCTGCAACTGCGGGTGGACCCCGTGAGGCAGGTCACTACTGGCACGCCACCAGTGAACGATACTAGCGACCTGTCAGCAGTCTGTCAGCAGTCTGGCAGCAGTCTGTCTGCAGTCTGTCGGCAGTCTGTCAGCAGTCCGTCAGCAGTCTGTCAGCAGTCTGTCAGCAGTCCGTCAGCAGTCCGTCAGCAGCCTGTCAGCAGTCCGTCAGCAGTCTGTCAGCAGTTTGTCTGCAGTCTGTCAGCAGTCCGTCAGCAGTCTGTCAGCAGTCTGTCAGCAGTCTGTCAGCAGTCTGTCTGCAGTCTGTCAGCAGTCCGTCAGCAGTCTGTCAGCAGTCCGTCAGCAGTCTGTCAGCAGTCCGTCAGCAGTCTGCCAGCAGTCTCAATCTCCCCTCCTCAACATCCCACCCTCGATTCCCCTCCTCCAGGCTCCCGAGCCTTCCAGCTCCCAATCCTCTATCCCCCCACCTGCCCTTGATCCATCCTCCTCCTCCTCCTCCTCTTCCTCTTCCTCTTCCTCCCCACCGTCCGACAATGACGCTGACGACTCAATTGCACCTGACACGGCCACCACCACCGGATTCACTATAAGCACGCTGCGCTCCTATACAATCACCGGCACAGTGTACTCATCAGCCGGTGCGGTTACCACAGAGGTTACGGGCAGCCTGGGAGCAGATGCAACAGTGTACCTTGAGAGCGAGGGGCTGATCGCCTGGACGCATGTTACCAGGGCTTCGGTGGAGGTTACGAGCCGCGACGCTAAGGGGAACGAGCTGGTTTCAGTCACGGAACAAAGCATGTACCCTGTGAACCTCAAAATGACGGCTCTGGATGGTAAGTCCTTGTCTTAGGTAGGTCCGTTCCTCGACGTGGGTGGTTCCTCGATCTCCCATGTTATGAGCCGCAATGCGAGGGGGAACAAGCTTGTTTCTGATCATAGATCAGGGCGTGTGCTCCGTCAATCTCAAAATGACGTCCCTCGATGGTGGGTACTTTTTTTTATCATAGGTCGTTCCTTGATCTCCTCATGACACTCCGCAGTGCGAGGGGGGACGGGCTGGTCTCAGTGACAGGGCGGTGCCTGTACCTCTATATAGGCGCATTGAACCTCAAGAAAGTCGTCCTTAGAGGCACCTTGAAGCCAGACGCTTTATCTCCTTTTCCCCTCCCCCCCACCCACCAGCCAGCAGTTTTTTAGGCGCCTCAAAAATAGACTCCTCACGCGCAGTTTTTGAGGCGCCTCAAAAATAGACTCCCACCCACCAGCCAGCAGTTTCGTCAAGTTCCTCCCACCCACCAGCCAGCAGTTTCGTCAAGTTCCTCCCACCCACCAGCCAGCAGTTTCGTCAAGTTCCGCACTGACTACGCATTGCACCTTAAGTGAATCGACCTTTGAGGCGCATTGATCCCAAATTCTTAATCCCCTCCTTCCCTCCCTCCCGCCCGTCAGCCACCAGTCCCGTCGAGATGGACACCGACTACGCTTTCAACCTGCAGAGGGGCGCATTCCTTCCATGTCAAGGGAGTCTACTTCCGAGGTGCATTGCTTTTGAGTCGACTCAAAAGTCTACTTCCGAGGTGCATTGCATTTCCTTATCATTCTCCCCCCTCCCTCCCTCCCGCCCTCCAGCCAACGGATCAGTCAAGATCGACACAGACTATGCGTTCAACCTTCAGAGGGATAAATCAGGGAGGAAGGTCGGCCGGCCGATCTCCGAAACGCTCCTAAACCAGCGGTTTGCGTCTTATATCGAGTACTGCGCGAGCTGCACTCCCAACATCACCACTGCTGGCAGCAGCAGCAGCAGCGGCAGCGGCAACGATAGCATTCGTGCAAGCAGGGGTGCTGGGTCAGTCTTCCAGGTGTTGGGGGGAGGGCGGGGCGGTCAGATTGTGGGGCTGAACACGAGTGATGTCCTGTATGGTGGCAGTGCCGGCAGCCAAACTGCTGGCAGTGATACCAAGGGCGATGGTGAGACAAGAACTGGTGAAAGCGGCAGGTTTAATTCCTCTTCTGGTGGTTCTTTGAACGCCAGGGGAACGGGTAGTGTGGCAAACAGCACTGGTGCTGTTGTGAACAGTGCTGGTACAGCTACAAACGGCACAGGCGTTGCTGGGAGTGGTGCAGGTGCTGCTGCGAACGATACTGGTGGTGCTGCGAATGGTAATGGCACTACTTCCGCCAATGGCGCTGGTGGTAACATGGTTTCTCCTCTAACACAGACCGACGGCGAGGGCAGGACGGCAGGTAGCTCTAGTTGCAAAGGGGTGCGGAGCGGTGCGTGCGCTCATTCTTCTGGCGGGTTGGACGAGCAGCAGCGCGCGGTGCAATTGGTTGAGCAGCATTTCGCGTTCGCAAGCAGTGATAGGGCCGTGGGCTGTTACTCGCGAAGCGTTGCCGTGGCGGGGCTGAAAGTGATAGCGAATGAAATCAGTACAGACTGCTCGGACTTGTAGTGAATCGGTATTTCATTTGGGCGTTACAAAATATCGAATTGTGTTGGTCAGTTTCACGTTTTATGTAAATACCTGTCCTCTATAACATGGTAAATGTAACTTTTTGGCTTGCCTGGTCAGTATGTACTGTGCAGGATATGAGGTTGATGAGGACCGTTCATAATGTTTCTAGAGTACTGTCAACTTATACATATGCTGTATGTAGAAGTTATAGGCTAGTCTAGGTGTGTGCTCCTAGTGAGTACAACCCCAATAGGTATATGTTCTAGGTTTCTCACACTAGTAATTCATTCTCGTATGCTAACATGGTATCACGCTTAGGTTACCGTATTAGCCCGGATATAAGACCCATGGGTCTTATCACACACCGTTGAGAAATAATCCAAATGGTCCTAGATCCAGGGGCAAAAAGCCGGGTTACCACAAGATAAGCGCCTAATAGAAGACCCAGGGTCTTCTATTACTAGGGGGTCTTATATCCGGGCGTTTACGGTAGGTCCCCCGCCCACCCGCTTCCGCCCGCGCCCTAGCCTATGCGCCCTAACTAGCCCCTTAGCGCCTGGCCCCTTCGCGCCCGCTAGGCCCCCCGTCGCGCTCGCTAGGCCCTCGTCGCGCCTGCTAGGCCCCGTCGCGCCCGCTAGGCCCCGTCGCGCCCGCCCGGCCCGTAGCGCACGCCCGGCCCCTCCCAGCGCACGCCCGCCCGGCCCCTGCCGCACCCTCTCACGGCCGCCCGGCCCCTGTCGCGCCAGCCCTTAGCGCCCGCCCGGCCCGTAGCGCACGCTCGGCCCTCTCACGGCCGCCCGGCCCCCCCTCCGCGCCCGCCCGGCCCCTTTCGCGCCTGCCTGGCCCGTTGCGCCCGCCCGGCCTTTCGCGCCAAGGCCGGCCCCGTCGCGCCTGCTAGGCCCCTCCTAGCTCCCGCCCAGCCCTTCGACCGCCGGACCGGCCCCTCCCTAGCGCCCGTCCGGCCCCAGTAGCGCCCTCCCAGCCCCTCCTAGCGCCTGCCCGGCCTTTCGCGCCCGCCAGGCTCCCAGTGCCCGCCCGGCCCCTCCTAGCGCCCGCCCGGCCCCAGTCGCGCCTGCTCGGCCGCCCGCCACCTGCCCGCCCCCTCCTAGCGCCCGCCCGGCCCCAGTGCGCCCGTCCGGCCTCTCGTAGTGCCCGCCCAGCCTCTCGCGCCAGCCCAGCCCCAGCGCGCCTGCCCGGCTCCCTGCGCCGGCCCGGCCCCTCCTACTGCCCGCCTGGCCCCTCCTCGTATCTGCTCGGCCTGTCGCGCCACCTCGGGCGGCGTGCCTTCTGCTCGCCCGCGCTGGAGCGCCTCGCAGCCGCCCTACTGGAGAGTGCTGCCGCCTTGTCCCCGTGCCGCTATGCTCCTGCGGAGCTGTGGAGCTGTGCCGCTGTGTCGCTGAGGAGCTGTGTCGCTGAACCTGCACGATGGCTGACTTCGTGCTCCGACTGGACGCTGAGGGCCACGCGGTTGACTTCGCCGCCTGGCTGTCCGATCTCCGCCATCAGCTTACAGGTCAGCGCCAGGATAGGCACTCTCTGATAGTCCATGCTGATGGCTTGCTCCCCCGCCCCCTTGCACCTGCTCCCCTCCCTGCTGACCCCACCTCTGCTGAGAGTGAGGCTTTCTCTACTACTGCGCTTGCCTGTGCGGTCTGGGACTCTCGCGATGCAGTAGCTCAGGTTGCTATCAGTCACGCCCTCCCTGTGTCTGAGCGTTCGCGTTTCGCTACGGTTGATACGGCCAAAGCTTATTTAGACGTTGTTGTTGCTCGCTATTCCACGCCCGCATCCGCTTCTGCCGGCCACTTACTCTTCCCGATGTTATTCCCGGACCTTGCTACCTTCCCTACTGTTGCAAACTTTGCCACTCATTTGCGTGCTCTAGAGTCTCGCTATCGCACTGCCAGCACTGCTGCCCAGCTCACTGCGCTCCCCCCCCCATTCTGCATGACACTCTATTTTATTGCCATGTGCCTGCCGGACCGCTTAGCTAGTGCTCGCGACCGCTTCCTTAGCCAGCACCCGGGTGACCTCACCCTGACCGCCTTTGTCCACACCCTCACCGAGATCGAGTCTCGGAAGTGCACTATCGCTCAGTCGAGCGGTGCGCCGGCAGTCTTTATCTTTCACGGCTGTGCCCCCTCCCTGTGCATGTTTACTGACGTTTCGGCTGCGGCCGCCACTGCGACCCCTTACCGAGACGGCAGCTGCAGTCCACCCGCAGCAGCGCCCGCGCCGCACTGGCCGTGGCCGCCAGGGAGGTCGTGGTGGTGGAGCTGGTGGTAGTGGTAGTGGTGGTGGTGACGGTAGTCCGCCTGAGGGGACTACCACCGGTGGGTAGGAGCAGACGCAGTCGCCTCCGCATCAGGAGCAACCCCAGCAGCAGCCACCGTCACAGCAGCAGCCGCCGCAGCCGTGGGCTTGTCTCCCGCCTGGTTGGCCCAGAGCTCCGGGGGTGGTGGCCGTGGTGGCGGCCCGCGCAGCTTGGCGTCTACCGGCAGCTCCGGTGCTGTGATCTGCCAGTACCAGCTTCAGACCGGGCCTCTCCGCAGCACTCTGTGCCGCCGCCCGCACCCGACCGCCCGCTGTTTCCGCCGCCTCAACGATCTCTTTCGTCGTTGCTTTGGCCCGGCCACGGACCTCCCCGACTGGCACAGCCTGCTCCGCCAGGGCGTGCCGATCTTTGAGTTAGACATGGATCAGATAGGTGCTGCTTTGCATGCCTTGTACTCTGACACTTCTAGTGTTGCTGTTCCCTCGGGCTCACTTACAGGCCTCCACGTTCCCTCGTTTTCGAGGAACCTGGTTGGTGTCGGCTGTCTTCAGGACCTCGGCGTCACCACAACATTCCCCGGGCACAAGCGGTTCGCTGTCTGTTCTGAGGCAGTCTGAGGTTCCCCCCTTGCGACGTTCCCCCGGGACCCGGTGTCCGGTCTGTTTACCCTCAACACCGCTTCCCCCTCGGTTGGTGCGTCCTCCCAGGTTGCTGCAGCTTGCTCGTGTCGGTCCCTCACTCACCCGTCCCTTCTGTGGCACCACCGCTTAGGTCACCCTTCTCTCCCGCATCTGCGTCACATGTCTCAGCACGGTCTTGTTTTAGGCCTCCCCGCATCGCTCCCTGCCCTCCCTCCCTCGAGTGCACCACCGTGCACGCCTTGCGTCGAGGGCCGGCTCCGCCGTGCTCCTTACTCCTCCTCGCTTCGCCCTGCTACTGCTCCCCTTCAGACCCTGCACCTGGACGTTTGGGGCCCAGCCCCCGTCTCCGGACCGCGTGGCAAGCGCTACTTTCTTGTGCTCGTTGACGACTACACGCGCTACACCACGGTGTTTTCCCTAGAGCGGAAGGCCAACGTGCCCGACGTTCTTCTACTGTGGGTTGTGGCTGCGCGTCTTCACCGTGGTCTCCCCGTGTTGTGTCTCCACTCTGACCGTGGCGGCGAGTTCGCCTCTGGTCAACTTGGATAGTTCTGTCGTGCGGAGGGCATCACCCAGTCGTACACCTTGCCGGACTCACCACAGCTGAATGGGGTTGCTGAGAGCCGCATCGGCTTGGTCATGGAGGTGGCTCGTACCTCTATGATCCATGCCGATGCCCCGCATTTTCTGTGGCCATTCGCTGTTCGCTACACTGTTCACCAGCTTAACTTGTGGCCACGCTCCCAGCGGCCGCAGGTTTCGTCGACCCTCCTTTGGACCGGGTCCCCCGGTGACGCGTCAGCGTTCCACGTCAGCGTTCCGCGTCAGCTCACTGCCCGCACTGTCCCCTGTGTCTTCCTTGGTTTCCCCCTGGAGTCGTCTGACTGGCTCTTCTATCACCCGCCGTCTCACCGCTTCCTCCACTCTCGTGACGTCACCTTTGACGAGTCTGTCTCCTTCTACCGTCGCTTCCTTCACCGAGGTCTCCCGGTTTCCCCGCCCATGTTCCTGGCTCCCTCTCCCCCGGTAGCCCCTGCTCCCCTTCCGCCTCGTCCTGCCTCGTCTAGTGTCTCTCATGTCACTCCCCTCCCGTCGGTTGTCCCCGTAGAGGAGTCTGTAGACTCTGGTGGTCCCCCTGGCACGTCCTTGCCGCATCCCCCTTCCCCGAAGTCTCCCCCCCCGCTGTCGCAGTCGCCGCCTCCGCCGCTGCCGTGGCAGCCGCTGCCGCCGCCGCCGCCGCCGCCGCCGTCGCAGCCGCTGCCGCCGCCACCATCGCAGCCGCCGCCGCTGCCGCTCTTGGCCTCTAGAGGTGCTGGCGTTGAGGAGGGTGTGCGTCCTGCGGCTCCTGGCGTCGTCTGTCCCCGCGGGCCTGGGGGTGCCGCTGGTGCTGGAGGGGGTTCTCGCTCTGGGGGTATTGGTTCTGGGGGTGCTGCCGTTGAGTGTTCTCCCGGCTGTGAGAGTACGACCCCGTTACACCAATTTCCCCTTTCCATATTTCCTTTCTATTTCATTCCTCTTTTTATCCTGATTCATTTGGTCTTTATCTCATCTCATTTGGATTCCTATTCCTCCTTTTCCATTATCGTTTGGTTTATCCTGTTATTATGATTATATCACCGACCAGGCTCGGGATGTACTGGCGCGCTATATCTAGCGTAATCCTGCCGTAATCCCTTAAAGCCAATAGCCTCGCTTGGCTATACGCAGGGTAATTCTATTTCTAGAAGGGTCTATTCCTTTTGGATAGGATAAACCTGGATCTCTGATGTACTCTGGAAGTATAAAAGCACCTTGTACTGATTGATAGTGCACCATTGAGCAAACCTTTCCTCGACACATTCGATCCTGTGACACTTGGTAATCAGAGCGAAGGTTTTAGCTCAACGCTCAAGCGCTGGGCCCCAGGAGCACGCCGAGGATGGAGTCGAAACTTCTTTTCCAGTAAGTACAATGCACTTTCATTTAAGTTTTGGCTCTCCTCGCGCAGTTGCACCTGGGGTCCCCTTTCGAAGGCGAGATGCCTCGCCGACCGTTCGATGGACTGCATCGACGGTGCCGAGTTTTTCGCGGGGGCAAACGGCCTCGACCTCGCGAGCGCGTCACTTCTGACGGAACACTCCCTGCGACATTCCGAGGAGTTTGCAGTTCGCGACGACACTCGGAGTTGCGCGGAAATGTGCGGAGCTG